CAAACAGCTGTGCTGAGCATGTGCTCGGGAAGCAGTTTCCACATCAAGAGAGACCCGGCAGTAGAGAATCTGCTTGGACACTCTGAACGAGTGAAAAGCAGCTCCCAAGTGGCTAAAGATAAGTACATGTGTGCGGCCTTTCAAGGGGGTTTAAAAAAAAAAAAAAAACCCATTTGGGAAAAACCTCTCTCCCTTTTACCTCCTCTCCGCACTCTACACCGGGAGTCTACTGGGCAGGAAATACATCCCAAAAGGCGCCCTGACCCATTCTCCTGGCCTTGGAGAGGGAACAAATAAGCTACTGTCTCACCTATGCCAGGAACACAGGGTCAGCACAGCTCCTTTGCTAGGCCCAGGCATAAGGGGTCCACAGACTCTGAGTGCTTTACACCCCTGTATAGACTTGTGGGGACCCATCTTAACAGCATTAGCCCTCACTACCACAGTACAACAGGGCAAACTTCTGAAGTTTAACTTCAACTGTTTCAGCTGTGAAGTGGCAGATTTGTGATCCTCGAAACAGCTCTGTGCCTTAAGAAGCCACTTTTATCAATCCACAACAGGGACTTGAGGCCTCGTGGTGGTCACCTAAACCTCCTAGTCACCTGCTACAGTAGTCCAAGAAAAAGTGGTGCCCTTGAGTCTTTACAGCGAACAGAATGGGGTGGTCATAGTCCGCCTGCAAAACTCACCTACCTACTCACCCTAGAGAATAGGGACACGCCTTCCTCTTAGACTCTCAGGGGCAGCTGTCGGCCCCCTGCATGGCTCAGTGCATGATACCCTACCACAGCCAGAGTCCAGTGCCTGGACCAATCACCCATGCCTCTCTAGGACTGTGGGTGAGAGCCTGCACCACACACTTAGTGACTGACTGTCTGGACAACTGAGCTGAACCCATATAGGAAAATTTAATGGATCCCTGTGTGCACGTACTTAGTTACAAAAGTACCTGGTGACAGGATGTTAGAGATTCAAAGGTGTCTATAATCAAACTAGCACACACGGGCAGCCTACTGGAGCATATCAAAACAAAACAAAACAAGAAGCTAGGACTCACTAAACAAATATAAAATAAAATTATAATAACTTATTGATGGCTCAGAGACAATAGTCAACATCAAATCACATAAAGAGGCAATCCATGATGGCTTCAGCAAGCTCCCAAAATAAAGAATCAATAACTTCTCTGGAGGAAGAGAATTTCTTGGAATTAGCAGAGGCAGAATACAAAAAATTAATATACAGAACCCTTCTAGAAATTAGAAAGGAAACCACCAGGGAACATACGAACAAATTTAGCAGAACTTAAGAAAGTTATTCAAGAACATAATGACAAGTTTAATAGACCTCAAGAATCCACAGAGAGACAGCAATCAGAAATTCAGATTAACAAGAAAATTTCAGAATTAGACAACTCAATAGAAAGTCATAGGAGCAGAACTGAGGCAATAGAAGTTAGAGTTAGTGACATTGGAGACAAACCTCTTGATGCCAACTTATTTGAGGAAAAATCAGATAAAATAATTAAAAAGAATGAAGAAACTCTAAGAGTCTTGTGGGACTCTATCAACCTACGAGTGATTGGAGTACAAGAACAGAGGGGGATAACAAGAAAGACAGAGAAAATTGTTGAAGATTTGTTGACAGAAAACTCCCCTGATATCATGAAAGATGAGAAGATATCTATCTAATATGCTCATCGAACCCCACATAATGTAGATCCCAAAAGAAAGTCACCAAGATATATTATAATCAAACTTACCAAAACCAAAGATAAAGAGAGAATTTTAAGAGCGGCTAGGGAGAAACAAAAAGTCATCTACAAAGGAGAGTCAATTAGAATAAGCTCGGACTGCTCATCAGCAACCATGCAGGCTAGAAGGCAATGGGATTACATATATAAAGCCTTGAAGGAAAATAACTGCCAGCCAAGAATTACATATCCAGCAAAACTGTCTCTCAAATATGATGGCAAAATTAGGGCATTTCCAGATAAACAGAAGTTCAGGGAGTTTGCAAAAACCAAACCAAAATTACAAGAAATACTAAAGGGAGTCCTACGGTTAGATAATCAATAACACCAGATAACAAGGCAAGACTAGAACACAGGACAGGGCAACCAGATATTGACTCAGTTACGGATACCGAAAATGCATCAAAGCTAAAACATTGAAAATAGGGAAACAGATATTAATATGTAAAAAAGAACAACATTAAAACAAAAAAGGGGGACTTAAAAAATGCAGACATTGATTTTTCATATGGAGGGGAAGTTAAGGCGATATAAAATAATAAAAGACTGGTATCAACTTAGAAAAATAGGGGTAAATATTAAGGTAACCACAAAGGAATCTAAAAATCCTACAAATCAAAATAAAGTAGAAAAACGTAAAGACCCAGCAAACACAAAATCTACAACAATGAAAAAGGTGAAAAAAAATACATAAAGAAAAACAACTCAGCACAGAAGATTGAGGGGAACAAAGGAACTTTGAACAACACACAAATAGAGACATCAGGACGACAGTACTAAACTCATACCTATCAATAATTATGCTGAATGTAAAGAGACTTAATGCACTAATAAAGAGAAGCATTTCCTCATTTAACACATTCGGTATCTCTAGAAAAGCAAAAATATTCTTCTCACGCTTTTTTTCTTAAATATTTCACTGAAGTGTGCTAACTTTATCATATAATATGTTGATAGTTCTCATTTTTTTCCTTTTTCTTTGAGATATTCACATTTTTGAGAAGATTATCAATTTCTTAATTTTTATAAGAACTTATTTCCTTTTTCTTTGTTTTTTTTAATCTTATTCCTTCCCAGCCATGGACAAGAGAGTGAAAATTTTATCTTTGAAAGAAAAGTTTAATGTTGCCAAAATGATAACCAAAAGAACAACACCATAAGGAAGCTATAATTAAGTTCAAGCACAGCAAAATGAAAATTCATTCAATTATGAAAGAAAAGGATAAAATAATTGAAAAGTACATGATCAGCACCAACACAAATGCCAAGAGAGGAAGGGACAGAAATTATGCAGAAATCAACAAAGCTGTTGTTGAGTATTTCTAGAGGCGCCACCAAAAATGCCCCCATTTCAGGACCTACCTTACCAGCAAAGGCAAAGGAAATGACCAAATTTTCAAAGCTGGTTTCTTAGCATCTAACTGGTTGCTTTACAGCTTAATATCTATATATCTATATGTCTATATCTATCTATATATATATGGAACCACATGCAAAGTATCTTTCTGGGAGCCAAATGAGTTCGACATGCAGAATCAGGATGCAATAAATGACATTTACAGTGATGTTTCAGAAAATAGGGTAAGGGGCTTGCCTTACATTGATGTGGACGAAGAAATTGCCACAGAAATGGATGATATAAACCTGCAAGAAATTGTGGACCCGCAGTCTAAAAATGATGGTGATGAAGATAATGAAGAGCCTGACCTTTAAGTCAAACAAGTTTTCAGCTGTATAAAGGCTTTGAAGACATTTGGAAAAGTTAAAGGAAACCAAGAATTATTTGATAAGGCTGCGGTCTTAGATATTGTTTCAATAATTTCATCAAAAAACCAAGACAAACTAGTTAAGATTAGATGTTTTTATGAAAAAGTGAATTTTACCCATATCTTTGTTTGAATAGTGTATGCACATATCTGTAGGTAATTTCGATCAACGTAGAAATAAAAAAAAATTGCTTAGATTCTGTTCCGGTCCTATAAAATTGAAATGAAAAACTTTCTCGGTGTTTATGAGGTTGTTGTTGTTAAGTGCTGTGGAGTCCATTCTGACTCATAGCGACCCCATGAACAACAGAAGGAAACACTGCCCACTCCTATGCCATTCTCACAATCGTTGCTATGTTTGAGCCTATTGTTGCAGCCACTGTGTCAATCCGTCTCATTGAATGTCTTCCTATTTTTCTCTGACACTCCACTTTACCAAGCATGATATTCTTCTCCAGGGACTGATCCCTCCTGATAACAAATCCAAAGTATGTTAGACGAAGTCTTGCCATCCTCATTTCTAAGGAGAATTTTGGCTGTACTTCTTCCAGGAGAGTGACAGAAAAGTGGTAAGACTGCACCTTGTCTTAATTCATATACATGAATTCATATAAACCTGCAAGAAATTGTGGACCCACAGTCTAAAAATGATGGTGATGAAGATAATGAAGAGCCTGACCTTTAAGTCAAACAAGTTTTCAGCTGTATAAAGGCTTTGAAGACATTTGGAAAAGTTAAAGGAAACCAAGAATTATTTGATAAGGCTGCGGTCTTAGATATTGTTTCAATAATTTCATCAAAAAACCAAGACAAACTAGGTAGAGTTTGGTTTTGTAAAGGAAATTAAAGGGCTGCCATTGAGGAGATATGGGACGTAGAAGTCAAACATCCGGTTTTCTGGGCCCCACCTCTTTCTTTAACTAGACTAGTCCTGCTTCTACCACTTTTTGTGCTGGTAGAAGGTTTACTTTAGAACGACAGTGACACACAAACACATTGACACACATACCAAATGAGAGAGAGAGAGAAGGATCCAATGCCTAGTGAAACTATACTTTCAGGTATGAAGGGGAAATAAATAAATAAAATAAAATAAACACATTCTCAGATGTAAGAAAACAATGTGCTGTGAATGGGGTTTTCCAGGGAGCTGTGAGAAAGGTCAAATAATGACAATTTGTTGTTATGAGACTCTCAAGAGCTCCAAACTTGGTCTTCCTCTTGAGTAGTGGCATAGCTGCTAGTTTCCATGGCTACTGTGCAGCTGGGGAGAGGATGTTTGGTGTAGGCCAAATTAAAATGACACATATACTATCTTTCTTACTGAGGTTCAGCATTTTTTTCTTGAATAAATACTCCCTGTATTGTCTCAAGCCTTTGCTTAATTTGCAGAGTCTTGAAAAAGTTGATCCGAAAATTTCTTGCCAGTGTTTTCTTCCCTTTATAAAGGATATTTATAGAGGACTTCACTCCACCATTCAAGAAGTCTCAATCCCCAGTAGAGTTTTCATTGTGGAAACTGTTAAGCTGGTATGAAAAATTGTACTGAAATGTAAATGACCAATAATACACAAAAGAATAAAAAATTTGAGCACTCACAAAACTACATATTCAGATTTCTTATAAAACTACAGCAATTTATAAATTTTTATTTTGTTAAAAATTTATACAGATAGGTAAACATATTTAACAATATAAAGACTCACGGAACACAAGAAAGTTGTTATACTCACGGTTATACTTTATTACAGAAAAGAGTACGGATGAAAATCAGCCAAGGGAAGAAGTACATAGGGGAAAGTCCAGGAGGGTTCCAAATGTGGAGCTTCCAGATGAACAAATAATATAATTCATTGTAAGACTTTTACAATCATATTATTTCCATTGCATGAAATATAAAGATATCTGAAGGACTCCAAACTCAGGTGTTTTAACTCGAAATCTCATGCTTACAAATGTATATTTTTTCATCTCCACAACTGGCTGATTGAAGGCTAAATTCAAATAGCATTACACAGTTGTGTATAGGATTTGATGGCTCTATTATCCTGTAATACATAAAAATGCAAAAACATTATATTTTTGTGTGGTAATCCATAAAAAAATGGCATTTTCTATGCAATGATAATAAAAAGATGTTATAAAAATGGGTAATGACATTTCTCACAAAATATTAGTAATAATTATTATGAACCCTGAGTACTTCCTTCTTAACTAATATTTATATCAATATTTCATGTCATTAATTTTCAATTTTTCTACTTGTCTATAATTCAATTTAGTCCTATTTATTAATATTACTTATCTGACTTTTTCTTTTGTATTTTTTCTTCTATATGATGTCATTCAGAAAAACTTACGTTTGGTTGGAAGGTGAGCCATTTATCCATAACCAGGAATAATCACTGCTTTCACGAGAGAGTCCAATCCATGAAAAAGATGATAGAATCTCCATAAACATCTATCATAAAACAAAAAATTCTGTTTTAATAACCATTATAAAGACTTTCATTACTTTAAAGCATGCAGATAGTGTTTTCTTTTACTTCATCTTTAATTTTCAAAACAAGAGTGCTAGATTCTAACATTAAAAATATATTGAAGTTGAAAATCAAATTTCATACTGTCAAAAACTTTCACAAATGTGTTTGATTTTCATCCAAAAGTAACTATTTAAATATTAATACTTAATAGTCTTATTCTCCTAGTTTCACTAAAAAAAAGTTTAAATTCATGTAACTTAATAGTTGCAAGGGTTCGATAAACTAGCATAACAAAACAAAACAAATCCACTTCCATTGATTCGATTCTGACTCGTAGCAATTCTATAGGAGAGAGTAGATCTGCCCCAGAGGGTTTCCAAGGTGGTATCTTTACAGAAGCAGACTGCCACATCCTGCCCTCATGAAAAACCAGCATAGTAAGGGTTTAAATAAGTCTCCAGATACTATTACCTTCTTCCCTCCAAAACAGTGTATTTTTCTACTATGTTTTTCAGAGTTTGGTTTTGTAAAGGAAATTAAAGGGCTGCCATTGAGAAGATACATGACGTAGAAGTCAAACATTTTGTTTTCTGGGCCCCACCTCTTTCTTTAACTAAACTAGTCCTGCTTCTACCACTTTTTGTGCTGGTAGAAGGTTTAATTTAGAAAGACAGTGACACACAAACACACTGACACACATACCAAATGAGAGAGAGAGAGAAGGATCCAATACCTAGTGAAACTATACTTTCAGGTATGAAGGGGAAATAAATACATTCTCAGATGTAAGAAAACTAAAAGAATGTGTCAATAGCAAACCTACTCATTACAACTGACTTAAAAACGTTCTTCAAACAAAAAGAAATGAATAGGAAAGAATTTTGAAGCATCAGAAGGAAGAAAGAACATGAAAAGAGTAGAAATATGAGTACATACAATAGACTATTATTATCCTCATGCGTTTTCTGAACCATATTGAATAATTTAAACAAAGATTACGATACAATCTGCAAATCAGTTCAATAAACATTTAAAAGTGGAGAAGGTCCATAGTGACCTCATACGACAGAATAGAACTTCCCCATAGGGTTTCAAATGCTGGAAATTTTTACAGAAGCAGATTGCCACATCTATCTCTCCGTGGATTAGAACCGATGGCCTTTTCTTTAGCAGCCCAGCACTTAACAGGTAAACCACCAGGGATTTTAATGGAAGTGAGGTTTTCACATTTTACTGGAAGTATAAAACACTGATACCAGTAGACCTTGAAAAGTTTCATTTGCATATCAAAATAGCCAGCTCAATCCTCAAGAAAAGTATACAAAGAAATAGAGTAAACACCACTACAATTAAATAATATAAAATCCTAAAAATGCTCATAAAAACTTAAAAATGCTCGAATTACCCACAAGTAGGCAAGAAAGAACAAGAGAAAAAATCACCAGAAGTAACAACCTGAAATAAATAAATAAAATGACAAACGAGCCCTGGTTTTGATACTGTGCTGTAGTGCTACAGGATGTTACCACTTGCAGAAACAGTGTGAAGAATACACAGAATCTCTCTGTATTATTTCTTATAACTGCATGTGAGTTTACCATCAGCTCAAAATAAAATTTAAATTTTTAAAAAAGTTAATGATGTTTGCAACAACTAATAGCATTCATTTGAAACAGGGATGAAATAATCCTGAAATTGCTTCAGCAAAAAAGTGACCATCTAAGCCACATGCTATGCTGTACCGTTACACATAAGGCTAACTGCTAAAAATTTTGCAAAATAATTTCCCTTCCATTATGCCATTTCAAAGCTATAACGGTAAAACATCTACTAAGCAAAAATATATTGATTTTGGTTCTTTGTTGTTGTTGACTGCTATTGAGTCAGCTTAGACTCATAGCCACGCTGTGTACAACAGAACGAAACACTACCTGATCCTGCTCAACCTTCACAATCATTATTATGCTTGAGCCCATTGTTGCAGCCACTATATCAATCCATCTCTTTGAGGGTCTTCCTCTTTTCTGTTTGTCCTCTATATTACCAAGCATGATGTCCTTTTCCATTGACTGGTCCTTCCTGATAACATGTCCAAAGCCAAAGTATGTGAGATAAAGTCTCCCCATTCTTGCTTCTAAGGAGCATTCTGGCTGTACTTCCTCCAACACAGATATATTCGTTCTTCTGGCAGTCCATGGTATGTTCAATATTCTTCACCTACTCCCTAAATTCAAAACCATCGATTCTTCTTCAGGCTTCTTTACTCATTGTCCAGCTTTCACATGCATATGAGGCCATTGAAAACATCATTGCTTGGGTCAGGTAATTTCATCCTCAAAGTGACATTTGCTTTTTAACAGTTTAAAAAGAGACCTTTTGCAGCAGATTTGTCTAATGCAGTACACCATTTGATATCTTGACTGCTGTTTCCATTGGTATTGATTGTGAATCCAATTAAAATGAAATCCTTTACAACTTCAATGTTTTCTCTATTTATCATGATGATGGTTATCGGTCCATTGTGAGGACTTTTGTTGTCTGTATGTTGAGGTGTAATCCACACTGAAGGCTGTAGTCTTTGATCTTCATCAGTAAGTGCTTCAAACCCTCTTGGCTTTGAGCAAGCAAGATTGTGTCATCTGCATATCAAAGGTTGTTAATGAGTCTTCCTCTAATCCTGATGCTGCGTTCTTCTTGATATAGTCTAGCTTCTTGGATTATTTGCTCAGTATACAAGTTCAATAAGTATGGTAAAAGAATACAACCCTAAAGAACACCTTTCCTGATTTTAACCATGCAGTATCCCCTTGTTTTGTTCGAATGATTGCCTCTGGTCTGTGTACAGAATTTACATGAGCAAAATTAAGTCTTCTGAAATTCCCATTCTTCGTAAAGTTATATATAATTGTTATGATCTGCTCAGCTAAATGTCTTTGAATAGTCAATGAAATACAGGTGAAAATCTTTCTAGTATTCTCTGCTTCTGGCAACGATCCATCTGATGTGAACAATGATATCCCTCATTCACTTCTGAACCCAGCTTAAAGTTCTGGCACTTCCCTGTCAATGTGCAGCTTCATCTTCTTTTGAATTATCTTCAGTAAAAATTTTGATAATTTTTGCATTCTGTTTGATCATTTTTCTCTGGAGTGGGTATAAATATAGATCTGATAGGTTAATTTTTTTTTTATTTGAAAGTCTATGCTATACAAACACTAATCCAAAAAAAAAAAAAAATTGCAGTGGCTATATTACTGTGTGTCACAGATTGAATTGTGTCCCCAAAAATATGTTTCAATTTGGGTAAGTCAGGATTCCCAGCATTGTGTGAATGTTCACCACTGTGTCATCTGATAGGATTTTACTATGTGTTGTAAATTCTATCTCTATGATGTTGAGATGGGATTACTTGCAGTCATGTTAGTGAGGTAGGACTTAATCTACAAGATTCGATTCTGTCTTTAGCCAATCTCTTTGAGATATAAAAGTCAGAAGCGAGTGAAGAGACGGGGGACCTCGTACGTCCAAGAAACAAGAGCCAGGAGAATAATGCATCCTTTGGACCCGGGGTCCCTGAACTAAAAAGTTCCTTGAACAGGGGAAGATTGATGACAAGCACCTTCCTCCAAAGCCGAGAGAGAAAGAAAGCCTTTCCCTGGAGCTGATGTCAAGAATTTGGACTTGTAGCCTACTAGACTGTGAGAGAATAAATTTCTGTTTGTTAAAGGCTTTCACCTGTGGTATTTCTGTTACAGCAGCCCTAGATAACTGAGCTACTATGTAACAAAGTAATGTCCAGAACAAGGAATATTACAAGAGTTAAAGAGGACCATTATATAATGATAAATGAGTCAATTGATCAAAAAAGACAAAATAATTTTAAATATGTATGCACCTAACATCAAAGCTTCAAATACATAAAGCAAATCTGATAGAGTTCAAGGTGAAAAAGACAAATCCACAATTTTAACTGTTGACTTTAGTACTCTTCTCTCTCTATTCAATAGAACATGTAGACAGAAAATCATTAAGTAAATAGAAGAGTTGAACATCGCTATCAACCATCTTAACCTAATGGACATTCATAGAACTCGTCACGCAATAATGTACATTATTTTACATGCACATAGGATATTCACCAACATAGACCGTACATTGGGCCATAAAACAAACATCAACAGATTTTAAGAAACTAAAATCATACTACAAAATATTTTCTTTTAATACAGTGCTGTAAAGTTAGAAATTAATAGTAAAAGAGAATATGTGAAGAACTTAAACAACCTAAGAGGTCAATGAGAATGTCACAAAGAAAAAAAAATGAATAGAATGACATGGAAACACAGCATATCAATATTTGTGAATTGTATTAAAGCAATGTCAAGAGGTAAATTTACCACATTAAATTCTTATTTTATAAAGTAGAAAAGGTCTGAAATAAATGATCTAACTTCAACTTCAAGAAATAAAGAGAAGAGAAAAACTCAAATAACGAAGAAAAAATACATAAACATAATAGCATAAATTAATGAAAATGAAAACTGCAAAACAGAATAAATAAATGAAACCAAATCATTTTCTCAGATAGGTTAATTAAATTGATGAACCTCCAACCAGAAAGACGAATACTACTAAGAGAGAAGGCATCAATTATATAAAGAAATCAAAAGAGGGAACACAACTACGGATCTTATGATCATGAAGATTGCACAGGAATGGGCAGCATTTTGCTGTGTTGTACTTAAGGTCGCCATTAGCTGGAGGTGACTTGATGGTAACTAACAACAGCAACATCAACAATTACAGATATTACTGAAATAAAAACGGATAGTAAAATGTTCTGAAAAACTATGCTAATAAATTTTGCAATCTTGGTGAAAACAAAATGATTGAATACACCAAAGTTCCCTTAAAAAATAAACTAATTAGAGGACTTCTGGCAAAATGGCACTCTAGGCAGTAGCACCACGCCGTCCTC